AATTTTGTAATTTTTCTTCCTTTTCCCCTTCTCCTTCCTCTCCTTCTTCCTCTTCCCCTTCACTTCTCCTTCTTTTCCTTCTCCTTTTCTTCTTTTCCTCCTCCTCCTCCTCCTTCTTCTTCTTCAGTTGTTGAATGTAGGTAAAATACTTCATAGTTTAGCAAATCCAGATTAAATTTAAATGTCAACTTCAGAGATAAGAGGAGAGAAAGAAACATAAAAATTAGGAATTTATTCTTAAATGTAGCAGTTTAGGGAGGCAGTTTGCATAGCGGCTAAGAACACAGACAACAGAGCCAGACTGCCCAGGTTTGAATGCAGTGTCATCTCTTACTGACTGTGTGACTTTGAGCACCATTTTTTTTTTTTTTTTAATCTTGTCTTTACCTCAGCTTCCTCAATTGCAAAGTGGAGGTTGTTTTGCCTCATGGGGTTGTTACAAGAATAAGTTTATAAAAACTCACTTAGAACAGTACCTGGCAATAGTAAGTACTATAGAAATGTCAGTTACACTTACTTAAAATTATAATAATGAATAGATTGAGGCCCTAGAAACATTTTTAGTTTTTATAAACATGAGGTTTTGGTAATGTTTCTGATTTTTAAAAGATCACAAATGTGGTTTGGATTACCACCCCCCCCCACCCCCCACCCTGCCAAAAAAAAGGGTTTGTCTTAATAACTGGTTAACGAGTTTTTAAGAAAGAAACCATTTGTATGACCCAGTAAATACAGTGTAAAGTTCACTAACAGGAGATGTCTGGCTGGGATAGAAACTATTAAAGAAAATCCTGAGCATGATGTCAACTTGGAAACACATGCTTTACATTATTGTCCTATCAGTTTTCGAGTTCCTGGAATATGTCGCTGAAGCAGACAGACCCTTTTTTTTTTTAAGTAATCATTTTCTGTTATTGCATTTGACTTAGATAAACGACCTTCTAACTATTGGGAAACTTTTTGTAGGCTTTGTGATGGTTATTTAAAGTGACAGCTGTGACTGTCAAAATACCTTGAGTACCGTACTTTTCAAAAAGGAAAGATAATTCCTTTGAAAATAATAATGGAAGGATAATAGAATCCCAGATATGAGAAGGAATAGGGTCTGCAAGCTCATGGATGGCATTCATCTGCCAAGACAGGGAAGTCCATTTCAGGAGCTAACCGGTTTTGCTTGCTTCATAGTACGGAGTACTCTTGAGTTGCTACAATGAGGGCAAAGTACACTGGGCAATGCTCCAGCAGATTACTTTTTAGCCAGGAAAGACCATGGCAATTCTGCCTCTATTTAATGGCCAGTTCACAGCCATCTAATAGTATGGCTTTTCACTGAATATGTGACTAACTTAAATATATATATTTCACATATGTCCTACTTTAAATAATATTTCTGAACAAATATTTTACCTTGTAACAACTTATTTTATTGTCTATACATGAGTTATGGCAGCTTGTAACCAACATGGAGATTAATGAACCATACAAAAATAAAGTGCAAATCTGCGTTTTGAACCACGAGCACATTTAAGAGGGCTGTAGCATTAATTACAAGAGTTCGATGTTCAGATTTTGAGAGGCAGCATGATCTGGCTGAGCAAACACAAGTTTAGGAGTCCTACTGCCGGCATTTGAATCCTACCTTGTTTATTTTCTAGTCATCTGAGGCTTCACAAGTTATTTAATCCAAGTCTATTTATTCATCAATAAAATGGGGACAATATCCACTTTGAAACGTTTCAAGAATCCAATTAGATACATATGTGAAAGAGTGCCTACCTCACGGACAGAAAAATTTTCTCTCCAACATTCTATTCAACTCTCCCCTCTCTCCCAATAGAAAAAACTTCTCAGAATAATAGTCAAGGATTTCAGTGAAAGAAAATTCCATGTGTAAAGTACTTTATAGGCAGTGAGGGGTGTCTATCCTCAATTAGTTTAGTAATAACCTTGGTCATTAATTCTGTGGTAACTAAGTCTCAAAGTACAAAACTTGGAGGTATTCCTAAGTATTGTAATGAAACCGCACCATTTGTCGAGACAGCAAAGAGACCCAAGACGCTGAAAAAAAATTACCTTATTCTGTGGAGAAAAATCCTTCATAAAGGATATTTGTACTCAGGTAACTAAAAAGTTAAATATAGGAACCCATTACATATTAAGTGAAAGTTTCGTGTCCGGTTTCCCAGGACCTGAACTCTGGGGGAAAAAAAGCCAGAATGAAAACCTTGTATTTGGGAACATAGGTTTGAGCCAGGTTAATTCTAGAGGTCGTCCCAGACCATCTCCGGACACGTGGTGTCTTAAGATGTTAAATCCACCAGGGACGGATGATTAATTAGGCGCAGAGATGACAGGCGACCGCCAAAGGAGCCTTTTTCATCAAAGCAAAAAAGGAACAAGCAATAGGAACTGAGGGCTTCCCTTGGGGGCCCGGCAGCCTTCCCGCTCCCTCCAGGATTCCCTTCACACTCCTCAAAACCCAGTCCACAAAGAGGGTGAGCTTGGAAGGGACTGGTTAAGAAGCACCTCGCTGCCCCGCCCTGGCGGTCCCCTCCCGTGGTGGCCTCCTGTGCGCCCCGGACCGCGCGGCATCGAAGGCCACGGATTGCGTATCTCCGCACCTAAAATGCTCCAGGGCCAACTTAGACCCCTGGGTGCGCACTCACAGTGCAATCACTAACAAGTAGTATTCCCGGGGCCTGTGTGTCTATATAAGATTTGAGAAAATTCTTCAGAAACCAGCCACGGTAAAGGTAAGGAGGCTCTCAGCGGAGGCAAAGTTCTCCCAACCTTGGGCGCACGGCGGGGTAGGGGTACCTCGAGGCTCTTTTTTTATCAGCTCCCACTCCCTCATCCGATTTGCTTATGTCAATTTAACCCTAAAGATAATGTAGAGGTGGGAGAAGCACAGTTTTATAAAGAACCTCCGAAGAGCCCTGAGTGTGCGGAGGACGCAGACACCCTCGCGCATCTGTCAGTATCCGAATGCATACGCGAGGCCGGGGAAAGGGAAAACAACGGCGGGCGCAGGCGCACACCGCCCCGCCCGGCCG